ATAAAAGTCAGTGGTTTCTTGTATACCAGTAATGAACAAGTGGAATTTGAAATTAAAAACACAGTACCATTTACATTAGCACCCCCCCAAATGAAATACTTTGGTATATATGTAACAAAATATGTACAAGATCTGTATGAAGTGAACTACAGAACTCTGATGAGTGAAATTTTTAAAAACCTAAATAAATGGAGAGAGATCCATGTTCATGGATAGAAAGACTCAATATTGTCAAGATGTCAGTTCTTCCAACTTGATCTATAAATTCAGTGCAATCCCAATCCAAATCCCAACAAGTTATTTTATAGATCTCGACAAACTGATTCTAAAGTTTATGGAGAGAGAGAAGACCCAGAAGAGCCAACACAATATTGGAGAAGAACAAAGTTGGAGGATTGACACTGCCCAATTTCAAGACTTACTGTAAAGCTATAGTAATCAAGATAGTGTGGTATGGGTGAAAGAATAGACAGGTAGATCAGTGGAGCAGAACAGAGAGCCCAGAAGTAGAACCTCATAAATAAAGTCAACAGGAGCAAAAGGAATACAATGGAGAAAAAAATAGTCTTCTCAACAAATCGTGCTGGAACAACTGGATATCCACATGTAAAAAAAATAAATCTAGACAACAGGTCACACCCTTCACAAAAATTAACTTGGAATAACTCACAGACCCTAAATGTAAAATGCAGAACTTAAAAAACTCCTGGAAGAAAACATAGAAGAAAATTTAGATGACTTTGGGTTTGTTGATGACATCTTAGATAATATAGTATAGGTATGATGAAAGCAAGAATTGATAAACTGTGCTTCATTAAAATGAAACATTTCTTCTCTGCAAAACACTGTAAAGGGAATAAAAAGACAAGCCACAGAATGCGAGAAAATATTTGCAGAAGATCTATCTGATAAAAGGAGTTATCCAAAATATTTGAAGAACTCCTAAATCTCAACAATAAGAGATTAAAAGTGAGCCAAAGACCTTAACAGACACCTCACCAAAGAAGATCTACAGATGGCAAGTAAGCATATGAAAAGATACTCCATATCCTATGTCATCAGAGAAATGCAAATTAAAATGAGATACCACCACATACTTATTAGAGTGGCACCACCAAATGCTGTCAAGGACGTGGAGCAATAGGAACTCTCGTAACATTGCTAGTGGAAATGCACAGTGGTAGAGCCACTTTGGTCGTTCTTTTAAAACTAAATATACTTTTACCATACAGCCCAGCAATCCTTGCTTTTTTATCCAAAGGAGTTGAAAACTTGTATTTCCACAAAAGCCTGCACATGGATGTTTATAGCAGCTTTATTGATAATTGACAAAAATTTGGAGGCAACCAAGATGTCCTTCCGTACGTGAAAGGATAAACTGTGGTACATCCAGTCAATGGAATAGTATTCAGTGCTAGAAAGAAATGAGCTATCAAGCCATAACAAGACATGGAGGAAACTAAAGTGCATAGTACTAAGTAAAAGAAACCAATTTGAAATGGCTACAAACTCTGTGATTCCAACTATATGACAGTCTGGAAAGGGTGAATCTTTGGAGACAGTGAAAAGATCAGTGATGCCAGGGATTAGGTGGGAAGAGAAAGATGAATAGGCAGAGCACAGAGGATTTTTAGGGCATGACACTATAATAGTGGATACATGTCAATATGCATTTATCAAAGACCACAGAATTTGCAATACCAAGCGTGAACCCTAAGGTAAACTATGGACTTTGGAAGGGGTGTAGGTTCATCAGTTGTAATAAATGTACCATTCTGGTGAGAGGTTTTAATGGGGGAGGCTGTTTGGAGGGGAGCAGGGGGTATGTGAGGAATCTCTGTGCCTTCCTCTCAATTTTACTGTGAATTTAAAAATGCTCTAAAAAAATTAAGTATTAAAAAAAGTTAGGATGATAGATATATGGACAGTTGAATGTAAAGGGATGATAGAAAGATGGATTAAAAAACTGTTTAATGTGTACATCTTTGATCTACTGAGCTTTGATTGGTTAAACCTAACAAAATATTCCAGGCTACAGCCATACTTACATGTTATATTGTGAGTGTTAATAGATAAAAATCTTTTAAGAAGTCAATTTGAAAGTATCTATCAAATTTTAATGGTCAAATTTTAAATGGTCATACCCTCTGATCCAACAATTCTAGAACTTTATTTCATTGAAATATTGTTAGAGATGTAAAAAAATAAAATATATTGAATGTAGTATTTTTAAATATGGAAAACTGGAAATGTAAGCATATATCAGTAGAAGACCATTACCGCACGTTCTTTGCGGTCATTAAAAAGAATGATAGGGTGGGGGGATGGGTTAGCCTGGTGATGGGTATTAAAGAGGGCACGTTCTGCATGGAGCACTTGGTGTTATATGCAAACAATCATGGAACACTACATCAAAAACTAATGATGTAATGTATGGTGATTAACATAACATAATAAAAAATAAGAAAAACAGCACACACACACACAAAAAGAATGAAATTGATAAACATGTACTCATGTGAAATGATGTACATGATTTGTTAACAGAAAAAAAGCCTTGTTAGAAAGTATTAACATTTTAAGTCAGAGAAAGACAAATACCGTATGATCTTATTTATAATGTGAAATTTAAGAAACAAACGAGCAAAGAAAAAAAAAGACAAACCAAGAAACAGACTCTTAACTATAGAGAACACACTATGATGGTTACCAGAGGGGAGGAAATAGATGATGGGGATTAAGGAGTGCATTTGTGATGAGCACTGGGTGATGTGTGGAAGTATTGAATCACTATATTGTACACCTGAAACTAATATGACACTGTATGTTAACTATACTAGAATTAAAATTAAAAACAATTTAAAAAGTATTAATATTTTGTTTTATTATGTATATTATTCCAATAATACTTTTTATAATAGTTATCTCTGAGAAACAATATCACAAGGGACTTTTAAATGCCTGTCTCTCTTACATTTCTTTAAAATAGCATATTGTTTGTTTGATCAAAAAAAATAAGAAGAAAAAAGGCTGACAGAATCTCCCAAATTTTCTCCATGATTACATGTTTCTATTTTCATAGGGAAAGCAAATAAACAAAAAAATTAAGTGTACCAATGCAGTGAACTGGTAATTTTATTGTGTTTGTTAATTCTAATATGTTGATTCTAAATACAGATCTACATCCAGTTGTTTCATTTTATACCTTGCCTTGTCCTGAAAGGAATTGAGTGACCTTTTGCCCACGCTAGAGAACAATTTCAGTATAATCAAAGTAACATATGAATTCTATGAACTCAGCAAACACTTGCCTAAATAATAATGGTCTTTAATAAATTTATTCAGCGTGTATGTGAGGAAATTTGGGGCCCTCTAAAGTGGGAGGCTCAGGATCAAGGTACTCTTGCTTGGGATTGAGGGTGGTGGTGAGTCGAGGCCTAGATGCCTGCATAGCTTCCTTACCCACACCATCAGCTTCTCATGGGAAAACGACTTTACTCCTTTTAAAAATTGGCCTGCTCTCTTCAGTTGTGAGTCTAACTTCAGAAATGAGAAGTGAGGGGCGCCTGGGTGGCTCAGTCATTAAGTGTCTGCCTTCGGCTCAGGTCATGATCCCAGCGTCCTAGGATCAAGCCCCGCATCGGGCTCCCTGCTCAGCAGGAAGCCTGCTTCTCCCTCTCCCACTCCCCCTGCTTGTGTTCCCTCTCTTGCTGTGTCTCTCTCTGTCAAATAAATAAATAAAATCTTTAAAAAAGAAATGAGAAGTGAGCATAGTGGTACTTCTTGAAGGAATACTGATAGGAATTTAAAAAGTGACAAGTTGAGTAATGTTTTTACTGAGAAAATCCATTTTGTAGATAAGCTTCTTAAGGAGGGACAGGGTAGGAAAGTGAACATCCAGAGGAACTTTGTTACCTCCTATATTCTGTCACATCACCTCATACATACCTTTGTGGCATCTGTCACCAAAACAATAAAATAAGTATTTTCTTCTAAAATTTACACTCTATCAGCTCAGTAAATACCCAGATAGCAATTAAGGAGTTTACACATCTGTCCTCCCACACACCTTTCTTTAAGACCTCAAGGAAAAATTCTGGAAGCCTCCAAATGTTTTGAAAAGACTCATTGTTCTGTTTCTGAGCTCAGATGAAGGCATCAATTTGTTATCCTCTGCAGCTTTCCTTGTTTGACAACTTACTATTTAAGAGTATATGGATATTTTGCATTTGAGAGAAGCTGAAGGACTCAAAACCTGGCTGGGGCTTATAAACACTTGATTGACTTCTACATATAGGTCATTGTATATGTAGATGCTTAGGTGAAGAATGCACATGTGCTCACACACAAACTCACCCACTCATGTTTTATGTGTCCTCACACAGAGTATATACAATGCATTATATAGAAACTATTTTTGAGTAAATTTGACATTCAGATTAATCTCATGAGATTGGGAGATGCCTTTCACATTTCTGTTTGGTCAATACTTACTGATTTCTTACTATACCAAGACACTGTGCCATGTACCATAGGGATTTAGGGATGAGTAAGATGCACCCTTGAGAAGCTTACTGTAAGGAGAAATAAGTTACTGATGTTAGAAACAATCTTTTAAAATACCTAATTTGCTTCTCTAAAAGAGGATTGCCATCCATTTGCTCATTGGCCAAATTGTCAGTTGTAGCAAGTTAAATGCGGGTTATCTTCAAAATTGACAAGATGGTGTCAAGACACTGAACTTGATCCAGTTTTCTTCTCACACATACTCAAAAACAAAAAAACAACTTCAGTGTTACAAAATAAAAATTATAATTGCATTAGTTCATAATTATGATTGTTACTGTTAAAGATGTACAAAAATGCTGAGTTGATTGGCAAAATACTAATGTTGGATGTAATTCTGTGATGATGTTTCTTCATGCAGTCTGGTTTTATCGAAACCTAATTATTCACTTAAAGACTTTCTTTTTGCTTGATATTTTTCTTCTCTTTTGCAGGAGTTTATTTTATCAGAAGATTATAACAAGATGACTCCTGTGAAAAACTACCAAGGTAGGAGTGAGACAGCAATGTTTTTACCTAGATTTTGAGATGATTCTTGACGGTTTCACTTTACAGTAGTCAGGGGGAGCAAAACAGAGCAGTCCTTTCAGGTGACTATTATCCGAGTCTTTGAAGTAAAAAAACTGAGGCCTAACGAGGTTGGGTGACTTGCCTGAGGTCCTGTAAAGTGCAGACCCAGACTGGGTCGTTGTGACCCCAGAACCTCTGACCTTTGTCCTTTGTCTCTCTGCCACACCATACAACCTCAAAGCAGTGCGGCAGATGCAGAGAAGTGGGGTCAGTGTTAGGAGTGAGCTACTTTACATGGGGTTCATTTCATTTTTGGTTAAATATTTTAAAAGGCCTGAAGTGTCCATGTTGTCTAAGGGAAAGGAATTAAGGTTTTCTTGTGTCTTCAGCATTGGCAGTGTACCATAGATGGATCAGGAGCCATTTTCTGTAATGATTTATTTATCTAGACCAATGATGTTATAGGATCAGAACATTAGAGGTGGATCTTTTAAGACTTAGAGGTTATTTCATCCACATTTCTCGACTTCATCCATCCTGCATGATCATCCAGACTCTCTTCTGATGCCTCCAGAGACATACCTAGCAATCCATCCTGATTTTTGTACAATTCTAAGTATTAAGTTTTTTATTTCTAGATTTTGATCCAAAATTCATTTCCCTATGGATTTGTTCTTTAATCGCTTTCACATAACACTTACCAAGTATTCACTGAGTACCTACTGAGTTCCAGTAACTGAGGATTATAATAGTAAACAAGCCATTATAGTACCTGCCTATAAGCAGTTTATAATTATGTAGAGGTTACAAACAGATAACCAGGTCGATAAAATGTTATGTTGTAAATACTAGAATGTTCCCCTTTTGGTTTTTGTTCAGCCTGTTGGAGCCACAGAAACTAAGTACAATCTCTCTTGCAGATGACAGCTTTTCAGTGATTTTAAAACAGCCATGAAAGTTCCCACCCTGGCTCTTCCTCTCCCCTTTTATCTCTTCTATTTTCTAGCCTAAACATTTTACATGACCTGAATTTTTGTTCTAAAAAAATTTTTTTTAGTTGTCTTGGTCACAGATCTTGGGATATCATGTTCTACCTCTGGAGCCCTTGAAAAATGTGACACATTGTGGTAGGCAGCCTCTAAGATGGGTCCTGATGATCCTTGCCTCCTGTTATTCATGCCTTTGAGTGTCAACTCCCCTTGAGGGTAGACTGGACCTAAAATATGGCAAAGGATGGATGTCACTTCTGAGATTAGGTTACAAAGAGACTAGTCCTTCTTGCTTGCCCTCTCCTGCTTTTGCTGACTCTCATGGAAGCCAGCTGCCATCTTATGAGCGACTTTATGGAGACGCCTATGTGATGAGGAATTGAGGGAGGCCACATCAGTAGCTGGTAAGGAACTGAAGCCCTCCGGTAGCTCAGGAGCCTATGAGGAACTGAATCTAGTCAACATGAGAGACATGGAATTGTGCAGGTCCTCCCTCTGTCAGTCTTACAGATGAGACCATAGCCCCACCACTTGACCTCGGTTTCATCCTGTGAGACACCTTTCAGCAGAGGCACCAAGATTTCTGATCCACAGAAACTCTGAGATAATAAATGTTTACTGTTAAGCTATTAAGTTTTGGTGTAATTTGTTATACAGTAGATAACCAATATACATATGTAATGTGGTAACTACAAAGTGGTATTTCCTTCCTCTTCTGGTCACTGTGCCATGAAGGGTGAACTTCTGACAGCCACTTTACACTGTAGGCTCATGTGGAGCAGTCAACTCAAACCCCTTAATGGTTCTCACTTAAGTTTTTATCGGGTACTGATAAAACTGTTGAAGCTGTTGCCTTTTTTGGTGTGGGGGGTGTTTTGTTTTGTTTTTAGCCTAAATGCTGGACTACATGTTATTCATCGTCTCATTTTATTTAGTCCATCATCTCAGCTTATCAAGACATTTTGAAATCCCAGTTGTGATTAATTTTTTTTTTAATGCAATGCTAATAAGACCATGAGAGAAACAAGAGGGAGAGTCCCCTGTACCAGAAGCAAAGGGAGAACTAAAACTCAAAGTGATATGCATACTACCTGACATTGCAGCTATCTTGGGGAGAAAAATAGAACTTCTAATAGCTAGAAGCTTTTGTATGAACAATGACTTAGGGACAGAAGATGAGACCTAGGGCTTGAGTGAGATGGGAAGTTGCAACTGATATTTACATATAAAGATGAAATGCGTAAAGGGCTGTATCACCATGAAAAAGGAGAGGACCAAAACTCTCCACTTATTGGCCCAGAAGACCATAGCATAATTTATTCCTGATCTCAGATCTGGATAGAGGGAAGAATCTTCCAGATAAATGAAACTTGCAACCTGAAATTTTGGATTTGGAATACAAATTTAAATCATTCATGTAGTGCTAGAAGCTCCAGCTTAAGAATTTAACATAAAAATTGGTCCTGGGCCAGTGGTATCCTCATGGTTCTGCTAGAAATAAATTCAAAAGCTCTCTTCAACAAAACAAGTCACACAAATATCCCACAGCAAAAACAAGCCCTGCTTAAGATGAATTCATAATAATAAAAATAAATTATAAAAGTTAAAAGGAATCAATCCACTATGAGTAAATATTAATAGATATCAAAAATGGAGGTGAAATAAAAATTTTTTCAGGCATAAAAAACTGAGAGAATTCATAGACCTGCACTAAAGGAAATGTTAAAGTCCTTCAGGAAGGAAGTAAATGATGCCAAAGGAAAATAGGGATGTACGCAAAAGGATGAAGAGCACCAGGCGTGGTTACTATGAGATATTTTCTTATTATTTAAATCTTATAAAAAGACAATTTGCTATTGAACTAAAAAGAATAAAGTAGCACGAGGGTCATAACATGTAAAATGAAAATGTTTGGCATCAGTAACACAAAAGCCAAGACCCAGGGAGAAATGGAAACATACTATTGTTAAGATTCTTATGCTACACATGAAGTGGAATAGATTCACTTGAAGGAAGACAATGATAAGTTAAAGATGTATACTTCTAGCCCTAAAGCAACCATAAAATAACAAATCAAAAAGTTACAACAAATAAGCCAACCAAGGAGATAAAATGGAATCATTAAAATCATTCTCAATGAACCCCTCTCCCCCCGCCAAAAAAAAAAAAAGAAGAAGGAAAAGGCAAAAGAACACATGGGAAAATAGAAAACAAATAACAAGGTGATAGATTTAAACCTACCAGTTATCAATAATCATATTAAATGTATGTGGCCTAAGGCTAATTAAAAGGCAGAGGCCTTCAGATTGAGTGAAAAAAAGGAGGCCCAAATGTAAACCACCTATAAGAAATGTACTTTAAATATAAAGACATAAAGCAGTTACAAATAAAAGGATAGCAAAAGATATACTGTGCAAACAGTAGTCAAAAGAAGGCTGGAGTGGCTATGTTAATAGTAGTCAAAAGTAGACTTCAGAGAAAAGAATATTACCAGGGATAAAGGATTATATTACCAGAGATTATTTCATAATGATTAAGGGGTCAGTCCATCAGGAGGGCATAACGATCCTAAGTGTTTATGCTCTTAATAAACACAGCTTTGAAATATGTGAAGCAAAACCTGATGAAACTTCAGGAAGAGAAATAGACACATCCTCAATTTTAGTCAGAAATTTTAGTATTCCTCTCAATAATTGATCGAATATATCAATAATTGACAGAATAAGTAGGCAGAAAATCAATAAGGTGTAAAAGGCTTGAACAGGACACAGCCAACTTGCTCTAATTGACATCTGTAGAACATTCCATTCAACTAAAGCAGAAGACACATTCTTTTCAACTTTACACAGAACATTTATCAAGGTGGATCACAGTCTGGGCCATAAAACGAGTCTCAGTAAATTTGGAAAAATTCAAGTCATGCAAGGTGTGTTCTCTGATCAAAATGGTATTGAAGCAGCAGTCAATAACAGAAATATCTCTGGAAAATCCCCAAATATTAGGAAGCTAAATAACCATGGGCCATCTAAGTAATCCATGGGTCAAAGAAGAAATCAAAATGGAAACAGCATATCAAAATTTATAGTATGCTGCTAAAGCAGTACTTAACTAAACACCTATATTAGAACAGAAGAAAGGTCTCAAATCAGTGACCTTAGTTTATGCCCCAGAAAGAGGGGCACCCAGGTGGCTCGGTCCGTTGGGTCTGTCTGCCTTTGGCTCAGGTTGTGATCCTGGGGTCCTGGGATTGAACCCCCTGTCGGGCTCCCCATTCAGTTGGGAGTCTGCGTCTTCCTCTGCCCCTTCCCCCGTTCATGCTCTCTCTTTCAAATAAATAAATAAAATCTTAAAAAAAAAAGAACAAATGGAAACAAAGCCAAGCAGAAGAGAAGAGAGATCGTAGCAGAAGTTCATGAAATAGAAAACAGAAAATAAATATCAGTGACACTAAAAACTGTTGTTTTTGTTTATTTTGAGAAGATGAGTAAAAGCGATAAACCTCTAGCCAGACTTAACAGAAAGAAAAGAGACAGAGAAGATGCAAGTTACCAATATCAGGAATAAGGGAAGTGATAACTATTAGAGATTGTAGGGATATTTAAGGATAATAAGGAATATTATGAACAACTTTATGCCAATAAAATTTGACAACCTCAATGAAATGAACAAATCTTTGAAAGGTAAAAATTGCAAAAGGTCACTCAAGAAGAAATAGATAACCCTAATAACCCTGTATCTACTAAAGAAATTGACTTTATAATTAAAACCTTCCCACAAAGAAAACCCCAGGCCCAGATGGCTTTACTGGTGAATCTTATCAAATATTTAAGGAAGAAGCAATACAAACTGCACAAACTCTTCCAGAAAAAGACTTTCCAACTGATTTTTGACACTAAAACTAGGCAAAGACAGTACAAGAAAAGAAATATATAGGCCAGGCTTCCCCATGAAAACAGATGCAAAAAAATCTAAACAGAATTTTAGCAAATCAAATTCAGCAGCATATACAAAGGATAGTACATCACAACCAAGCAAGGATTATTCCAGGTTTATACCCAAAAAAGATGGAAGGAGGGATTCAAACATACTTGAATGCCATTGTGCATAACAACATTATTCACAATAGCCAAAAAGTGGAAATAACCTAAATGTCCATGAATGGATGCATGGTTAAACAAAATCTGGTGTATCAAAAGAAATGAATTATTTTTTGGCCACAAAAAAGGAATGAAATATTGATACATGCTACAACGTGGATGAACCTTGAAAACGTGCTAAGTGAAAGAAACTAGACTCAAAGGACCGTACTTTGTATGAATACGTTTATATGAAATGTCAGGAATAGGGGAGGACGGGCACCTAAGTGGCTCAGTTGTTTTAGCATCTGACTTTAAGTCAGGTCATGATCTCTTGGTCCTGGGATCAAGCCCCACATTGGGCTCCCCACTCAGCGGGGAGTCTGCTTGTTCCTCTCCCTCTGCCCTTCCCCCCACTTGTGCTCGCACTCTGTCTCTCTCTCAAATAAATAAATAAATAGTCTTAAAAAAAAAAAAAAAAGAATAAGGGACTCCATTGAGACAGAAAGTAATTGGTGGTTGCCCAGGGATAAGGGAAGAGGAGTTGGGGATGTGGGTTTGTTTTGGGGTGATGGAAATGTTCTGTAAATAGTACATTTTTCCATGATGATTGTACAACATTGTGAATATACTAAAAACCACAGAATTATACACTCTAAAATGGTTTAAATGGTGATTTTTACCTCAATAAACATTTTTAAAAAAACCAATCAGTGATACCAAAAGCAAAGACACTATAAGAAAGGAAAACTACAGATCAGTAATTCTCATGAACTTAGATGTTAAAATCCTTAAAAAAAAATTCTAGCAAATCCAACAATATATAGAAGGAATTATACACCCATGACCAAGAAGATTTATTCCAGACATGCAAAGCTGGTTTAACATTTGAAAATCAGTGTAATCCATCACATCAAAAGGCTAAAGAAGTAAAATGATATGATCATATCAATTAGTGCAGAAAAAGCATTTGATAAACTCTGACACCCATTCGTGATAAAAACACTTAGCCAGCTACGAATAGAGGCGAACTTCCTTACTCCATAAAGAAACATCTACAAAAACCTACAGCTAACATTGTACTTAATTGTGAGAAAGGAGATGCTTTCCTTCTATGATCATGAACAAGACAAGGATGTCTTCTCTCAGCCTTCCTATTCAAGAAGTATAGCCAGACTTCAAGCCACATTTCTGAAGCTTAATGATACCTTTAAAGGGTTTCTTTTTGAATGAAAGAATTCTGTCACCTTAGAAAAGAGTATGTGCTCTGAGTTTTGGGGCTTGTTTTTTTGTTTTTTCAGTAGTCCTCGGCAGCCTGACACAGAAAGAGAATCAACTTTGGTGGAGAGCCTAGGGTCTTAGTTCTCGTTTCATCACTCGTTGATTGTGCAGATTTGAGCAAGTCACTCAACCTGTGTGAGCCTCTGTCTCCTCCCCTCACATGAAGGCAGCTCAGAGGGCTTAACCCCCCTTGTCTTCTGGACTGCTGTCATCCCCTTGGACTTAGAGAGTGATGGGAGAAAGGGACAAAGTGCTGGGGGCTACTTTCTTGCTGAAATAGATTTGAGAAACTTGAACCATTAGAGAAGTTCATTTTTATTCCATCATTGGTGGAGCCTTGAATTGGACATTTGATGACAGGATCCTCAGGAGTTTCTCCCAAGAAATCATACCTTTTAAGTTAAAGACAACACTTTGATCTTGAATGGTGGCTGATACTCTGACAGGCAGGTGTTTACTGTAGAGAAGTCATAGTATTATTGCTTCTGTAGCCCTTCTGTGTCCCTTTAGATTCTCTATGCTTCAAATAGCAGATTTTAAAATATCAGGCATTTGGTGGAATGGCTGTCCTATGGGTACTCATTGGTTTGGTAGCCAATGTAAAAGGGCCATCCTGCCAAGGCCAGGTTGTGTCTATAAGATGAAGAAACTACCCACTTTTGCAGGGTCATTACAATGACTAAGTGAAAGAATATATTTAAGTACTTGGCACTTGTTAGACACTCAGAAATTGGCAGGCGGTATTGTTATTGTCAATAGAGCTGCACTGATCCATCTAGTCCATACTAACTTTATTTTCATGATCAAAATGGGAAACTGATGTTTTCTCTATCACGTCATCACGCTCGTGACGAGTCTGCTCTTGCCCACCAAACTGCCAGCTCCTGGGCACAGGGCCAGTGAGGTCTGGGTTCCAGGGTATTGATCTTTGTCTATTCCAGTCAGCTCTGTTCAGTGGCCATGGACCCCCTCTGCCTCACCCTCTGGAACTGTGTAAGAAGAAAGCAAATTTTTATGGATTTTATTCGATAATTGAGAAGCCATGAGACCTTGGCCAAACTACTCCACTTCATTGTGCCTGAATTTACCCACATGTAAAATAGGGAGATGGAGTAGATGACATGAACAGTTTCTTCTAACTATAAAATTGTGTGATGCGGTAATTCTGTGGATGGTGTTGCCTCTGTGTATGAGCAACCCTGGGAGATTTGCCCTCCTTATCACATGTATGTATACTTTGACATAAGGGTTATTTCATTCTCTTTTACGTGGCACTTGGGAATAATTCTGCCCTCCTTTCTAGCATTTGATTTCTTACAAAAAATTCATCTAGAACTTTGTTGTAGGTTTAATAAGCCATACTTCACCAAAAGGAGCACAGTAATGCTCTTTACTTTTTTTAAGCTTGCATAAACTTATAAGATCATCATGCATTCTATTGTCCTGTGGTCACATTGAGTCTGGCATTCTCCAGTCCAGCAGCTCTGTCATGTCTGAGAGAGGTGGCCCAGGCCCTTTGGTAATGGGGACTCCGGGTGGTGGTAAACTTAGATTTGGTGCAGGCGGGAAAAAAATGGACAGTGGGAGGTAGGAGGAAATAGACAGTGGACAGGTGGAAGGAAATGAATAGTTTTTAAAAAATCGTCCAACAGCTCAGGTATGCCCCTCGACAGTGGTATACCTCTTCCCCTGGTGAGAACCGCTGTTCTGTGTGTGTAATGACTGTCCATACAATGCAGCTTCCTCTGGGGTGGGGAGAAGAGAATGACGCATCTCTGTGGACCATGCTTTATCAATCTCCTTTATGATGCTTTATGGGTTATTTTCTTGTCTCTTGGCTTTTAGCGCATCAGAGCAGAGTGACGATGATCCTGTTTGTCCTGGAGCTGGAGTGGGTGCTGAGCACGGGGCAGGATAAGCAGTTTGCCTGGCACTGCTCGGAGAGTGGGCAACGCCTGGGAGGTTACCGTACCAGTGCCGTGGCCTCGGGCCTGCAGTATCCTTTGCTGGACAAAAATCCCTTGGTGGAAACTTAGCTGTTGACTCCTTTCTTTCATGAAAAGTTTGGGTATGTGCAACTTGAAAGTTTTTTGTTTTATTTGCTGAGTTGCCCTGCTGATTTAGATTCTCATTGACTTGACCGATACACAAATGATGGAGGGTCCTCACGGAGGTGGATTAAAGTGAGGTGATTTCCCCCAAATAACAGATCCTGCTGAGCAGGTTGTGGGGTGACTGTGACACAAGTCTGACATCCAGACAGGACGCAGCCCAGATTTATGAGCCTCAGGGGTCAGAAAGAATTTTGGAATGTGGAGATGATAAAACCATCAGTGAAAGACAGCCTTTTATTTTTGTACCTGTGGAAGTAATTTACACACAGATATTGAGGTTGTGAAGAGCCACCAGATTCCTATTTATTTTTTAAATATTTTTGGAGAAGCCACTGCGCCAGGACCACTAGTAGGTTAGCTAGTATCTACACGGTAATGGTACAAACTTTGTTCCAGGTACAAGCCCCTTCCAGGATATGTAGAGTGATACTAATTCTCATCTTCCAAGTCTCTGGGACCCATATGCCCAGTGTGAATGCCCCCTAATGCTGGGTAATCCTCATGTCTGGCCCACTGGGCTGTAGCAAGCACAGGCTTGACGGATATGAAGCCTGTATGGGCAATGCCACCACGTAAGGAGTAGCAGGCCCTGAGCTTCTTGGTTTAAAAAGCAGAGAATCACTCTCCACTTTCCGACGAATGCGGGAATACATGGAAACAGATCCCTTGTCAGCAAAAGCAGGAAGAAATAGTAAGACCTGTTTTCAGATGTTCATCTTATATTTATAAAATGCCTATTCGGTGATTCTCAACAATCTGAACAAGTACTTTGCTGTCTCCTTGCAGACGTGCAGCAATAGCTTTATGTGTGTGTGTGTTTGTTAGCTAATGTCACTCCTATTTTTCTCTCTTATTTTCCTCACTTGGAAGAGCAAGATGAAGAAACTAAGAATGGCCATCATGGAAGGTTGTAAAAATGGCAAGTTACCAAGCAGGCCAGAAACGAGGGTGGTAAGGAGTGGCAAGCAGGACCAGCTTATCTTTGAGAGGGTGGTACCACCTGTTAAGAGAAGAAACTCCAAAGTTTACTTTCTAAAAGCCAGTTGAGACAAGCCTAATGCCTGAAATACATGAACTCTCTTGTCAATAGATGACTGATTTCTTATAGTATTAGAATTGGAAAGACCCTGAGCCGTCATCTGGGTCAACTCCCGTTTTACAGATGAGCCAGCTGAAGCCCAGAAAGGGTCGCACGTCTTACCTGTAGCCACCCAGCTAGTATGTCAGAAAAGCACCAGAACCCGGGTCTTCTGCCTTGGACTGCTGTTTTCTCCCATCATACTGTGTTACCCTTTTGAGACCAGAACTAATGGCATCAATAGAATGCTGGCTTCAGTAGCACTTAGCCAAGCCAAGGAATATAGAAAAAAGGCAGATCTTGCCTTTAAGAAGTTTACTTTTTAAACTATTTGAAAATGAGAAACAGAACAAAATGCCCAGAACTGAAAGTCTCCTGACTGTGGTGGTTTCTGACCCTTCTCTTCAGGCATCTCCTAAAGTCACCTTCATTTTTCAACCATTTCCCTTGGCCACACACCACGTGGTTTACCAAGCAGAAAAAATCATGTGATCAGATATCAGAAGTTTGTGTGTGTGTGTGAAAGCCTCTGGGTTCATTTCCCAGTGTAAATGACCATCTAGTCCAACCTTGTTGTTAAGGGGGAGGGGAACTGCAGTACTACAGAAAGGCTCTTCCAGAAGATTCCTGCATCTCTACAGCTCTGCCTCTCACAGTGCCTGCCCTTGCTCCTGATTTAAGAATGGCCTTATATCCTTCTATCTCTGATATTTTTCCAGTGCTCCACACTGATGGCATAACAGGATTGCTTTTGCCGAGGGAAACATGCAGGAAACGTGCGACTTTCCCAAGGCTGGAGGGTTTTTTCTGGGAGCTGCCTGGTGCACAGATTGTTAACAGTGTTAACGTACCTATGCAATGTTGGGGCTCACATTAAAATCCAATTTTTAAACACATTTCTTCATGGGAACGCTCCACCCCACCTCTTTCCTCTTCTTTCTGCCACCTACCATACTTATAGGTTTCTTTTCTTAAGGGAAGGAAGAAGATCTGCTGAAACAACATATATAAAATGTTTAGAATATCAGTACCCCCAATTTCTCTTCCTGGTGGATAGTGGTGGTGTACATAAGAACCTTCCACAGATGAACCACCTTTTTCCTATCTCCACCTCACAGTCATTCATCCACATCAGCAAGTGATAGAAGTCAGGTTGAATTCAGCCTTTTTTGTCTTCCTTCTGGCCTCATAGGGGAGAAGTACGTGTGCAGTGAAAATAACAAAAATTCAAGTAGAGTAATAAAGGAAGACAAAGAGACTGACCTTTCAAAAATTGAATTACCAATTTCTTTTTTTTTTAATTTTATTATGTTATGTTAGTCACCATACAATACATCATTAGTTTTTGATGTAGTGATCCACGATCCATTGTTTTCGTATTAACACCCAGTGCTCCATGCAGTACGTGCCCTCCTTAATACCCATCACCGGGTTAACCAATCCCCCCTCCCCCAAAACCCTGTTTGTTTCTCAGAGTCCATAGTCTCTCATGGTTCATCTCTCTCTCCAATTTCCACCCCCCCTCATTTTTCCCTTCCTTCTCCTAGTGTCCTCCATGGTATTCCTTATGTTCCACAAATAAGTGAAACCATATGATAATTGACTTTCTCTGCTTGACTTTATTTCACTTAGCCTAATCTCTTCCAGTCCCGTCCATATTGATGTAGAAGTTGGGTATTCATCCTTTCTGATGGCTGAGTAATAGTCCATTGTATATATGGACCACATCTTTTTTATCCATTCATCTGTTGAAGGGCATCTCGGCCCTTTCCACGGTTTGGCTATTGCGGACATTGCTGCTATGAACATTGGGGTGCATATGGCCCTTCTTTTCACTGCATCTGTAAATACCCAGGAGTGCAATTGCTGGGTCATAGGGTAGCTCTATTTTTAAATTTTTGAGGCACCTCCACACTGTTTTCCAAAGTGGCTGTACCAATTTGCATTCCCACCAACAGTGTAAGAGAGTTCCCCTTTCTCCACAACCTCTCCAACATTTGTTGTTTCTTTCCCTGTCCATTTTTGCCATTCTAACTGGTGTATATCTCAATGTGGTTTTGATTTGAATTTCCCTGATGGCTAATGATGATGAACATTTTTTCATGTGTCTGTTAGCCATTTGTATGTCTTTTTCAGAGAAGTGTCTTTTCATATCTTCTGCCCACCTTTTGACTTGATTATTTGTTACCCACAGCGAATATCATCCTCAGTGGGGAAAAGCTGAGAGAGAGCCTTTCCCTTAAGATCAGGAACATGTCAAGGATGCCCACTCTCGCCACTGTTGTTCAACATAGTCCTAGAAGTCCTAGCAACAGCAATCAGACAACAAAAAGAAATAAAAGGTATTCAAATCAGCAAAGAAGAAGTCAAATTCTCTCTTTTCTCAGACAACATGATACTTTATGTGGAAAACCCAAAAGACTCCACCCCCAAGTTACTAGACCTCATCCAGCAATTCAGTAATGTGGCAGGATACAAAATCAATGCACAGAAATCAGTTGCTTTCTTATACACTAACAATGCAACTGTAGAAAGAGAAATTAGAGAAACAATTCCATTTACAATAGCACCAAAAACCATAAGATACCTCGGAATAAATCTAACCAAAGAGGTAAAGGATCTATACTCTAGGAACTACAGAACACTCATGAAAGAAATGGAAGAAGACACAAAAAGATGGAAAAATATTCCATGCTCATGGATCAGAAGATTAAACATTGTTAAAATGTCTGTGCTACCCAGAGCAATCTATACCTTCAATGCCATCCCGATCAAAATTCCAATGACATTTTTCAAAGTGCTGGAACAAACAGTCCTAAAATTTGTGTGGAATCAGAAAAGACCCTAAATCGCCAAGGAAATGTTGAAAAAGAAAAGCAAAGCTGGGGGCATCACGTTTCCCGATTTCAAGCTATATTACAAAGCTGTGATCACCAAGACAGCATGGTACTGGCACAAAAACAGACATATAGACTAGTGGAACAGAATAGAGAACCCAAATATGGACCCTCAACTCTATGGTCAAATAATCTTTGACAAAGCGGGAAAAAACATGCAATGGAAAAAAGACAGTCTCTTCAATAAATAGTGCTGGGAAAATTGGACAGCCACATGCAAAAGAATGAAACTCGACCATTTTCTAACACCATTCACAAAGATAAAGTGGATGAAAGACCTTAATGTGAGACAGGAATCCATCAAAATCCTAGAGGAGAACATAGGCAGTAACCTCTTTGACATCACCCACAGCAACTTCTTTCAAGATACATCTCCAAAAGCTAGTGAAACAAAAGCAAAAATGAACTTTTGGGACTTCATCAAGATAAAAATCTTCTGCACAGCAAAGTAAACAGTCAACAAAACAAAGAGGCAACCCACAGCACGGGAGAAGATACTTGCAAATGACACTACAGATAAGGGGCTGATTTCCAAGATCTATAAAGAACTTCTCAAACTCAACACCCAAAAAACAAATAATCAAGTCAAAAAGTGGGCAGAAGATATGAAAAGACACATCTCTGAAGAAGACATACAAATGGTTAACAGACACATGAAAAAATGAATTACCAACTTCTGAATAACTTCAAAATCTTTGGTTGCTTTGGCTAAAGATCTGAAGCTTCAAGTATTAAGAGCTATAACACTAACAACAATAATCAATTTAACAATAATGAGAAGTAAAAACCAAAGACCAAATCCTCAGTTTTCACAGTGTAGAAACCAAGGCTCAGAAAGGTTAAGGGACTTTCTCAAGATCACATGACTAATGCCTGGCAGAACCAGGATTAGAATTTGGGTATTACAGTCTTTTGGCTAGCCCTTTGAGCAACTAAATACAGTAGAGTGGAGGTATTTCCCAAAGGTCACATGGCAGGTTGATGTTAGGAAATAGAACTATTTTCCTTCACCACTTCACTTACTAGTATTTAAATTTGTGAATAATTTAGTTTCACCTTTCAGTCTTGTCATTTGACCATGTTTCGATCACATTTTTCATGCTTCCACAGAAATAATTTAGATACTCTTCATTTTAAGATTTTATTCATGCTAGAGATAGTTCCAAGATGTCACCCTATATAGTACAAGGTCTTTTCACCAAGAAGTCTCTTAGATCTATTCATATTCAGGGCAAGGGTACTGGAAAGCTATAAGATTATCTTGATTTTTATATTTCCTCATATCATACTTAATGCCAATCACTCTGGCTTTGAGGTTGTAGTATAATTTTATTTCAGCTCTCTTTCAAATAGCTTTTGTTGCATTTATATTTTTTTAAGAGAATACTACTATTTACCTGCCATCATAAAGACTGTTGGGTGTCAGAGTGCATTTGTTTTTTCATCAGTGTCCTTAAAATTAATCTGGGTGAATGTAAGGCGATCTTACTCCATATCAATCTTAGTATTGTTTTACATATATCTCCCTTGTTCTTGAGACTGGAAGAATTTGTGGTGCCTTGTTCTCCTTCACTTTTAAAAAAGTTTTATTATGAAAATTTTCAAAACATGCACCAACTGGGAGAAGAGATTATAATGGACACTCACGTACTCATCAGATCCAGCGTTGATTCTATGATCTTTTTTGCTTTCTCTCTCTCCTTGCTGGAGTATTCAGAAACAAATTTTAGACCTTATGTCATCTTATCCTTACATACTTAATTGTGCATCACTAAAAAATACGGAAATTTTCAGTAACCACAATGCTATTATTACTCCTAAAAATTTATAACCACTGCTTGATATTGTAGAATAATTGATCCATTTTCACATTTCACTTACTGGCTTTTTGCAGTGAGTTGGTTTGAAATCGGGGCCAGACACAGTTCACACTGACCATTGACTATGGTTGTCATATCCTAAATCTCTCAATCTAGAGCAGTGATCTCCTCCCTTCACTTTTTTTTAATGCTTCTATAACTTGTTGGAGATGCTGAGTCCGTGTTCCTGGAGACAGCCCTACGTTCTAAAGTGATCTCTGCTTCCTCATGATGTCATTTCACTTTTTCTTCTACTTGCACTTCTCCCATATTTTTCTGTAAGCTGGGAGTTACCTCTACAGTCTTGATCCAGTTCAGATCCAGCTTCTGGTAAGGACACTTGGTGTTTGTGCTGTCTGGTTCATATTGCTTCGCAGCAGGAGGCACGTAGTGGTGGGTTGTCACCCCCTCCCAGAGATGCTGGGATTGGTTAGTATTTTAGGTGGTGACCACCAGGTCCCTGCAGTGCTGACCTCCACATGAGCCTTGCCTTTAGTGGTCTCGCCTGAACCAGTTATTTTGTTAGGGTCGCAAAATGGCTATTTTGTAATCATATCATTTTTTCCACATGTATTAGTTGGAATTCTTCTATAGAGTAGAACTTTCCCTCATTAACTAGGGCTATTTGGTTACCCTGAGATAAAATCAGTATGGGAAAAGCAACATAAATTCTTAATTATTTCTCTTTAATTGCTCATTTTCAGAGTAGAGATTCAATGCCCTGGTTACCTCCAACAGGTGTCTTTTTTTTTTTTCTTTTTGAGCATTATTATAAACTCTTAAGGTTTTTTTAAAATAATATATCTGGTAGATTTCAATAATTTGCCTTTTTTGATGCGAATATTGTCCCATCATTGGCCAATAAGAGCCCCATCATATTGGCTCCAGTGTCTTTTGCTAGAACCCCACTTGCCTTTGAAGGGAGCTTTCCTACTTTTTGGCACAACACATCTTAACCTCATCTTGTATCTTCCTGTCCCAGTCCTGAATCAGCTGTTTCTTTTAGTGAGGCGTAGTATTCAGAGATAGCTAGGAAATATATGTGTGTATATTTCTGAAAAGAAAATAAATCATCAATTCATATAATATATTCACTTTAACATTTTAGAGTTTTTACTTCATTTTTGTACTTGATTCTTTCACCTTGGGCTGAAAATTATGGCTTCTAAAACATTAACGTATTTGCTTTATCCTATGGTACATTTAAGCTGTTTCAAAATAATAATAGCAGTATTATAGCACCAAGACTACGGAATGAGATTTTAGCTTTCCTTGCAGTTCTCTTTGTCCTTAGAATATATTCTCCCAAGGATGTACAGTTGAAACGCTGTGTGTTAGAGGCACTTGAATAATTCTGTTAACTATGGTTATATGGTTAGCTGTGCTTATAACTATGGTGATCACCATAGTTATTGTTCACCGATTCTACTTTGTTGTCAATTTGGGGGATTTTTTCTTTTAATTTTATACATATTTTTAATACGTAAAATAATGACATGACTCCAGGATGCAAACTATGACAAGAAAAGTCTCACCATCAGCCCTGTCCCTTCAGCTTGTTTCTCCCTCTTCCATAGGCAACCACTTGTGTGAGATATTAACTTACCCTTCCAGAGCTTCCTTTTATAAAATAAGTGCCCACACGGGTACACACACACACACACACACACACACATTTCTATTGCCCTCTCTTTCTTATGCAAAGATAGTGTAGTGAGCGTATATACCTTGGCTTGTTTTCCCCACTTTATAATATACCCTGGAAATTCCTCCATGTGTTTGCTTATGATATGGAACTCTTTTTTCCCCTGATATTGCATAGATATATCATAGTTAATTCAGTAAGTGCCCTTTTGATGGAATTTTTTTGTTGTCTTCACACTTTAGCTATTTAAAATAGCATGGAGCAAATAGCCTCAGGCATGCATTTTGTACTTTGGCCAGTGTATCTCTGGGATAGATCTCTAGAAGTAGGGTTGCTAGGTGTTATCAACCCGGGAAGCTCACTAGAGACTCAGTGCCTTAGGTTTGTACTGGACACTGGTCACGTAGGCAGCCTGTCCCTGACATGTACCAAAATTCCAGACTAAGTAGGAAAGCAGGTATTTGGCATAAACCATATTCTGTGTACAGTTAAGGCCACTCTTGTCTGTTAAAGGTGGGGCCCTCCGGAAATCCAAGGTGCGAGACATCAGGCCAGCTTTGTAAGCAGCCTTTTGAAGGCTAGCATTCAGGCCCATTTCACACATTTTCATTTTCACACACCATTTTCATTTTCATCTTCATTTCTTCTTGAACTATGTGTTCATACATTTTGCCCATGTTTCTGTTAGGTTTGTGGTTGCTTTCTTCTTGATGGTTCTTTTTGTGTTAGGGATTTGACCTTTTGTAACATAAGTTAAAAATATTTTTTCTAGTTTATCTTTTGGCTTTGCTGATGTTATTTGTTGTTGTTTATGTTTTTGAGTAGTAGCCTTTCCCACTCCAAGATTATAAAGGAACTCTCCCATCTAGAACTTACATTTGTAATTTTTTACATTTAGATCCTCAAGCCATTTGCAATTTATCCTGATACAGAATGTGAAATACAGGTCCTGTTTTGTTTTTCCAAATGACTGTGCAGTTTATGCCAACATCTTTTTTTTTTTTTTTTAACCCATCTCTTCCTTATTCATTTGAAGAGCCACCCTCATCAGACACGTACTACATTTCTGTATGCTTTGGGGTCTATTTCTAGACTTGCCATTTTGTTCCATGGGTCTGTTTGTCTGTTTATGCACCAATACCACACTTCTAATTACAGAGATTTTGTAACATCTTCTAATATCTGGTAGGGCTAACCTCCCCTATCACATACCACATTGCTCTTTTTTCAGAATATCCCTGGCTCTTCTTGTTTATTTATTTTTTATATGAACTTAAATAACTTCCCCAGCTCTGGGAAAAAACATATGTTGATATTTTTATAAGGATTATATTAAATTTGTAAATCCATGTTGTAAGGAATGACATCATTATCATGTGAAGTCTTATTGTCCCATAATATTGCGTCTTTTATTTTGTTGTGTCTACTTTTGTATCTTTTAGCTAAGTTATGTCCAAGCTTTCTTCATATGGGATTTGCAGATTTCTTGGTTTTATTTATTTATTTATTTATTTATTTATTTATTGCTTGATTTATGTATGTAAATCCCTCTGCTCAATTTTGAGAAACATCCTTAATGTTTACATGATAGATTTGATGTTGAAACCCGGCATGTGTTTATTGGTGACCAGTCAGGCCAAGTAACCATCCTCAAACTGGAGCAAGACAGCTGCACCCTGGTCACAACATTCAGAGGACATACAGGTGGGACTGCAAGCAGAATCTCCGTGTGCCGCTCTCACAGTGACATATCGCCGGCCACGTGTTCTGGCGTTCGGATGCCATGTTGTGAAAGTGACAGAGTCCAGTGTGCTCGGATACACGTGATACATTTAGCTGATTTCAGAATGGTTCAGTAAGATATAATGTCAAAAATTTTCTACAGTTTTCAGTGCACACGAAAAAGGAGCCACTCTTGTTTTGAAAATGTTGGTAATTTGGTTCTATGTCGTGTCACGCTGGGGAAAGCTAGTGTTGGCGTGTGTTGATGAGACATTGTTTGAGACCATGTGGCAACTGCACAGACCTCGAGAGGCCAAAAATACAGCTGCCTTAGTCTGTCCTTTCCATCCTTAGAGCGAGAAGATGGTGTGCAAGACAGACTCCCCCCACTTCTAAGACAAGTGAAATAAAAAAATATGTTGTGGGTAGCTGGGCTACATAAAAAGGTACAGGTTCCTTTTTAACTTCCTTCTGGGTTCTTTTATTATTTAGGGTTTGTTTGTTGGGGAGGGAATCAGGATCTGCTTAGGATCATGTAAGCAAGGTAATATAAAAAAATCCATGCTTAGCCTTTGAAACACTTGAATAGGTGGTAATGATTCGTTTTTACTAGTATTTTTAATATGTGATGTTGACCCTGGGAAATGAGTCACTGCCTGTATTCATGGCTCTTAATGGGCTTTTTATGTCTCCCACAGATTACCAACCTATGATTTAGTATAGAACAAGGTTCATATTGAGTTTAGATGGCATATAAGAACACAAATAGGTGAATAAGGATGTAAAATGGGATAGTACCTAGATCATGAGGGATTTCCTCAAGGGGAAAAAAGGAATGCAGTAAAGAGGAAATTGAATCCAGAGGAAAAGAGTCATAAAAAATAATCTTAATTATCTGTGTTTTCTGGGAAGAGCACATAGAAGCATCCCCTGTGGAAAGGCCCCAGGTCCTTCCTAATTGGATTTCTCTTTTTAGCCACCTACACCCTGGCTGAGCCTCGCCAGGTGGGGACCCAGAACTCTCCCATGTCAGGAACCTTAAACTTCTGTATTTCACTGCTGACTTCAGTCTCCTAATATCCTGCTTTTCTAAACCTTGCCTCCGGCTCCATTTGCTCTTGCCCTTGTTGACCAGTCCGTCCTTGGTCCCTCAGTCCCCCGTGTCTGTGCCCCATCCTCTCTTGCTTTCCAGAAGGCTGTCACTTCAGCCACGAGCCGCCCAACACTCTCAGTTCAGGTGCTCTGGTGCTTCTGGAAGAATGTGTGCACCATTCACAGTGTCGCCAGCCCGCCACGAGTCACACCTGAGTCCTAGGCCACCATTACCACTGCAGGTTCAGCGTTCCAGTTCACCTGTCAGTGTCGCCTCAGTCCCTCCGCACGTCCTCAGTACTCCCCTGGGCTTCTCCAGACCTTCACTGTTCTCCCTGAGCCACTGCTCCCTCCCCAGACTCCTCCTTCAAGGAAAAATAGAGGTGATCAGATAGAAGCTTCGAAAGGGTTTTTCTTGGGGCGCCTGGGTGGCTCATTTGGTTAAGCATCCGACTCTGGATTTTTGGCTCAGGTCATAATGTGGGATCGAGCCCCAGCTCCTCGCTCAGCGAGGATTCTGCTTGAGATTCTCTCTCTCCCTCCCCTTCTTCCCCTACTCCCCCCATGCACATATGTTTGCGCACTCTCTTTCTGTCTCTCAAATAAATAAATAAATCTTAAAAAAAATTTTTTTTCTTGCCCGCCCTATATTCCTCCCTAACAAACACACTTGGTCTCCACATCAAAAACTATTCCCTTTGTCTTCCTTTTGACTAATTCACTCTTCTCAGTGTATTAACATGCTTAAATGTCTTGGCTTTCTGTTCAATGAACAAAACTCTCTCAATCCTGTATCCTGTTGTAGCAGTTTTCGTCATATTGTCTTAACAGCAGTGCTGCTTTTTTCTTTTTTTAAATTATGGTAAAATGTACATAATCGAAAATTCACCATTTTAATCATTTTTAAGCATGCAGCTCAGTGGCATTAAGTACCCTCATTATCACCACCATCCATCCACACAGCATTTTCTGTCTTAGAAAACTGCAACTCTGACCCCATTAAACACTAACTCCCATACCCCTTCTCCCAGCCCCTGGCAACCACCATTCTACCTTCTGTCTCTACGAATTTGCCTGCTCTCAGTACCTCACAGAGTAGACTCCTATGGGATGCGTTGTTTGTGACTGGCTTCTTTCATTTGGCATAGTGTCCTCATGTTGTAGCAAACAGCAAGGCTTCTTGAAAGAATATCATTTTCCAGCTCCTTCAAATTCTTCACCTCTCACTTGCCTTCCACCCACCTGCAGTTTGGCTTGTCTCTCGCTTGTCTGACACTGCTGTCCCCAAGGTGGCCAGTGACCTGCTGGTTGCTAGATCCAGTGGACGTATTTTAAACCATGTCATACTTAACATTTCGCCCTTCCTTCATGCTTGTAACAGCCCTCCCTTTGGCTTCTGTGACACATTCTCTCCCAGTTTTCTTCTGCTTCTCTGACTGCTCTTTCTCGTCTCCTTAGTGATCTTTTTTGAGTTCTGCCCTGAACCTTGGTCTCTTTACACTCATTGCTCTCCCTAGTTGATCTCAGCCACTACTCCCTGTCATGGAAATAAAAGGTTCAGTTATTTCCTCAGATTCTTCACAGCCCAGGGAGAGAGCCAGGAGCAAAAGAGTGACATGGCGGCAGGGGCAGGGGGAAGCCGGCATGGGGCACTTCCAGGAACACAGAATGGGCACTTAGCTCGAACAGGAGTGGGGGTCCGTCAGGAAGGCCTTCCCAGCAGAGGTGTTGTTGACCTAAGATATTTGGGAAGGAGTGAGTGTTGAGTTCATGAAAAAGAAGTGAGGAGAACACTCCAGGCAGAGAAAACCAGCATCGTCCACGGCGTGGAGATTTGCAAGAGTGTGCTCTCCTGGGAACTCTAGTAACTCCTTTTGGCTGGCGCACTGAGTCTGAGGTGGTGGGCAGCTGGAAAGGAAGTGAGAGTCCATTTGGATCATTGAGGCATGAGCCTGACGTCAATGAGAAACCATAAAAGAGTTTGAAGCAAAGATGTTAACCTGGTCAGAATCTAAAAGATGGTTCTGGCAGCAGGATAGAGAGTGTAATTGGAAAGCTAGTAGGAACTGCCCCTCAAAATGTGGCAGGAGTACACGGCAAAGCCAGGAGTGGATGGGCCCAAGGTGAAATTCAGGGGCTGAGTTCGGCAAGCCTGGTGACCAGACTGGGAAGTTCCCAGACCTGGTTTAGGCAGAGGTGGCTTTCAGCTTGGCTCTTTAGTAGTCAGCCGTTCACTGTACGGCTGAGAGTTGTGCTCTGAGTTCTCTGTTGCTGCCTCGAGGCCAGAAAAGGGGTGAGTAGCTGCCGCTTACTGCTGTGTAGTGAGCCAGATGTGGCCCAAGGGTTTCCTGTCTTCTGGGTTAGTTCTAATATCAAATGTTGTCTTGGCATTATGCTTTATCTTTCTCAGAGTTTAAAGCATTCCTCTATGACTTTATCGTGAACTATCTTTGAGGAAGACCAGATATGGCCCAGGAGAGTCACTAACTCACATGAAGGCAAATGTAACAGGTCACATAATCAACTTACTGTTATTATCCATAGACAGTAGTATTTACCCATCGCCAGTCTGGCTACAGCACAACTCATTCATTTGTAGCCAGAGCAGGGATGTCTAAGAGATTCCTTGATGATGCAAACATATTGTTGAGCTCTTCCTCTACAGTCGGCCCATCCTGGGCCCTGAGAGGTTCCAAACTCTGGGAAAAGGGGCTCTGTAAGGATTAATCTCCTCATTCCCTAACCCCAAAACAAAGACCTTAAGATGAACCCAGATCCATTAAAGAATGATATTGGGGGTCTTGTCAGTCCAGAGCCACACTCAGAAGCAGACAGTCTGGTATGTATACAGAGTCCTAACCATTCACCCATCACTCTGTTATAGTACAGAAGGTCGTATAAAAATGTGGGTAAGAGATGGAATTGGCCTAATACCACAAGCCAACATAGCATTTACTAATCCATGGGGACCTAGGAAACTAGTTTTATGTTCCGTTGCTCCCTCTGCTGGTTTTATTTCTGGAACTAAATGCCAAGTATCATAGTTCTTTGCTATTTATGCAGAAATCAGAAAGTATTTCTCCCAAAAAGTCACACTGACTTGAACAAAGGGAGGAAGAAATCAGATTTTAACCATTGGAAATTCATAGTATCAGTAAAGTCATTTTTTTCTTTTACTTCTAAGGATTATCTTGGTTAGTGTGAACATACTAGAAACAGAAGGGATTGAACATAAGTTGCCAAAGCACACTGCTTAACAAAAATTTAAATACAGTCTTGTTCGTTAACTGTTAGGGGAATTATTGAAAGTAACAGTATAACTGTAACAAAAATAACTAAAACAAGGAAAGGCATAGTTCAGTGCAGATATGCAAGTTCAAATCCTTAAGCTGAAAACTTGATTTTTGTTTACAGTGAAGGCTTTCACATCCAGTAGATGCAGATTTTTATCGAGTCAGCCACGTCGTTAGCCCTCTGCATGATGAGTGCTGGGATATAGGGGTGAGTCAGACAAGCATAATGCTTGCCTATTCAGCTTCCAGTCATGGAATGCAGTCATTAAACCAATAAATGGAGGTAGTTCTTCAAAAGGTTATGAGCGCAGCAGGGATATGACACCCCAGTGCAGCTCAGAGGCTCCTTGGGGAGCAAGGAAGAAGACGGCCTCCCTCTCCAGAACGCTCAAGGGAGACTTCTGAGGAAGCGGTGTTTGAATGAAACCTTAAGGAGGAAGAAGAGTTACCCAGGTGGCGAGACCATTCTAGGCCCCAGGTGTGTGACGTGGGTATGCGGCCTGGGGTGGGAAAGTGTGAGCAACCGTATGGAGCCCCGTGGGCACTGTGGAGAGCCAGGGGCCAGGAGGGGAGGTTGAACTTCCAGGCGATGTGAAG